TTAAAAAACAGGCTTTGTACAAACTCTACTGCTCAGGAACACAGATACAGCTACCAAAACTGCAAATAACGGAAAGACGTGATTATCCCAAAGGAGGGCTGAGGAGAGGCAGGACTGATTCCGAACGGAGGTCTTACAATGATTACGGAATGCGATCATTACACTGGGCAGAAAGTGCCCCTACGCGTATTACTTTTCACAATGAAGGAAAAAAGGTCTTAAAATGTTTTAACAATGTTAAGAATTTAAACAGTAGCTGGGGATGTTTAACCAGACAGAATTCCCAAGTATTTTGAAAAATTACTTCATTTATATAAAAATCAATGAAACATTAGAAGGGGCAGACAAGAAGAAAGTGAAAACAAATTTCACAAGTCACCTAAGGAGAATGATCTAGAGACACCAGCGTGAGAAAAACCACAAAAAGAACAAAAGGTAATAGAAACTGTTGGCTCCTTTGGGGAAAAGCAGCAAACAAACGTAAAGCAGACAGAACCTTAGAAGTGAGTGACCTAAGCACCATTCTTAAGACCAGATTTCTCCACCCTCTTGGCTGGCAGACACACACAGACACACACACAGACAGACACACACACACCCGCCTGCCACTGCTCTTTCCTCAAGAAATCCCTGCTGTCCCCCACTGTCCAGATTCCTGGGCTTTCTTCTGACAGCTGGCTGACAGGGGCCCACATGGAGCTGTGACCACGCCCACCCTGGGGAAGGTCCTCCCTCCAGAGACATAAAAGAGATGTGGGGTGATGAGGTTTACAGAGGGGAGGCTTGGGGGGTTGAGGGTTATAGAGGGGAGGCTGGGGGTCTGAGGGTTATGGAGGGGAGGCTGGGGGGTGAAGGTTACAGAGCTGTGGGGGGTGAAGGTTACGGAGGGGAGGCTGGGAGTGACTGAGAGTTACAGAGGGATTGGTGAAGGGTTAATCAGAGGAGGTGAGGGTCTAGGAGGATGAAGTGAGGAGGAAGGGTCCAGGGAGTGAGGATACAGGGTACAGAGTATTCGAGGGTTGGGGCAGAAGGGATTCCAGGCCTGGGTGAGTGAGAGGTGAGGAGGGTGCAGTGATGACCAGGAAGGTTAAAGGAGGAGAGTCCAGGTTGGGTGATGGTCACAGGTGTGAGAATCTGAGGGATGAGGATTACAGGGCCAAGTTAGAGTCCGAAGGGGCGACGGTCACAGAAGGGACCTGGGGTCAGTGTGGTCCTGGTAGGATAGGCTCCAGGGACGAATGTGATGCCAGTTCCAGGGGTGAGTAAAGGTCATGAAGGAGAGTTCACAAGTGGATGAGGGTCACAGAAGGGAGGGTCCAGGGTCAGTGGAGGGAGGGTCCGACTGTGGGAGATGTTGAGGGGAGGACACATGGTGGGTAGGTGTTGGTGGAGGGATTTAAGGGGTGAGTGAAGTCAGAGACAGTGAGGGTCCAAAGTGGGTGAGGGTCTGGTGCTGGGTGAGGACAGAAGCAGCAAAGGTCTGGGATGGGTGAGATCCGAAGTGGGTGGTATAGTGTGGGTTGGGGTCCAGGGTGGGTGAAGTCCAGATGGGGTAGGGATGGGGTAGGGACAGTGCGGGGA